CCCTCAGTAATCTGTAAGGAAGGAGAGAGAGAGAGGAGAGATTAGAGAGAGGAGAGGAGGAAGAGAGAGAGATAGAGAGGAGAGAGAGAGAGAGAGAGAGAGGAGAGACGAGAGAGAAGAGAGAAGAGAGAGAGAGAGAGAGAGAGAAAGATGGGATAGAAGAAAGAGAAAGTGAAAGATGGAAGAAAGAGAAAGAGAAGAAGAAAGAGAAAGAAAGAGAGAGAGAGAGAAAGAGATGGACAGAAAGAGAAAGAAAGAGAGAGAAGGAGAGATGGATAGAAAAAGAGAGAGCGAGAGGGGGATTATAAGGATTTGAATGGGAGGGGAGGGGGAGGGGAGGAGGAGGCTTTAGATTGGATTAAGAGAAATTCCCCGAAGAACAAGTCGGAACTAAGAGACGTATCATTACCGTCTCAGAAGACACCGATTTGCATACGTTTGTCGACGCCGAAAGACGCGCCCCCTTTTGTTTACTCTGACGTGGATGTGTGTGGGACGGGGAGGTTAGCTTACTTAATTGGTCCCTTCTGGTTTCACTGTTTTTCTTTTGTTGTGTGTTTTTGTCTTGTTTTTTTTTTTTTTTTTTGTTGTGTTTGTTTTTTGTTTTCTGTGCTCTCTCTCTCTGGCTTTGGCTTCTGCTTCGTTTGTGTCTTTAGCCGATGTGTTTATTTCTTGTTTCTTGCTTTCTTCTGTGTGTGTGTGTGGGGGGGGAGTGGGGTGTGTGTGTGTGTGTGTGTGTGTGTGTGTGTGTGTGTGTGTGTGCGTGTATGTCTGTGTGTGTTTGTGAGTATGTGTATATATGGGACTCTGTCTATGCCGCGGTCTGTTTCTCTCTCTCTCTCTCTCTCTCTCAATCTCTCTCTCTCTCTCCTCTCTCTCTCTCTCTCTCTCTCTCTCTCTCTCTCTCTCTCTCTCTCTCTCTCTCTCTCTCTCTCTCTCTCTCTCTCTCTCTCTCTCTCTCTCTCTCTCTCTCTCTCTCTCTCTCTCTCTCTCTCTCTCTCTCTCTCTCTCTCTCTCTCTCTCTCTCTCCCTCCCTACTTCCGCCAGGGCAACAGAGTCACTGATGCAATAAAAATATTCCCACTTGAAGAATTACACCAAATCACCTTTTTCTCAAGTAATGACGTATTTTTTCCTTATATTGCAATGCTATTGAATCCTTTAAAAAAATCCTTAATCCGGCTCATGATCCAGATCACCATCATCTAATTAGACCTAAGACCTCTGGTATACATTACATAAAAATCTATATATAACTTTTTAAGTTCTCCGGATAAAAATCTGAATATAACTTTTCGAGGATCCGGATCAGCTAAAAAAAAAAAAAAAAAATATATATATATGGCATCTAAATTGACCCTACACAAACGTTTGGTAAAAGCCATATAGAAATCTGTACACAATTTTTTAAATTCTTATTTTTATTTTATTATTTATTTATTTATTTATTATTTTTTAGTTATCCTGCTAACCAACTAATCAACAAACAAAACACAACGCTAGCAAAAACATGACCTTCTTAGCGGAAGTAACATTAACAATACGGAAGATGCTGATAAAAATAATGGTAAGGATGATGATGATAATGATAGTGTGATGGTAATGACAATGATAATGGAAATAATGTTGCTGCTGCTGCTGATAATAATGATGTTAATAATAAAATATGATAACAATAATAATGAAAATAATAATAATAATAACAATGATAGTAATTATCATTTTAATTATTATATTAATAATAATGGTAATTACAATGATAATGATTATTGTAATAATAATAACAATAATAATAATCATTACTATTATCATAATAATGGTAATGTTAGTGATGATAATAACAACAACAATAAGTATAATGATAATAATATTAATAATATTAATTATTATTATTGTAGTGTACGGCTGCACACTCGCCGTCTACGATCAATGTCACTTACATAAGCCTCGGCCAACGCCACACGAGCAGCTGGACGCCACGGACTGCTGTATCACGCACACACACATACATACATACATACATACATACATACATACATATACATATATATGTATATATGTATATGTATGTATGTATGTATGTAAGCATGTTTTTTTGGGTTTTTTTCTACGACAAAATCCAGCAGGCCTTATTTATTTATTTATTATTATCATTAACCACTTTTTAAGAAGGACAATCTTTAAGATTGTAGTAATAATGCGAACTTGGTCATATTTATAACCATCAACGTATTTTTAACCATTTTATTTCCATGACTGAAAATGCCTGTAACTCCCAAGTGAGTGCAACTTGTTCCCTGAATAAACGTCGTACCATCATAGAGCTTTTACTCGGTTCCAATCAGAAATATAAATGACCGATTTACCACCATTAAAGTTCTGGTTCTGAAGAAGGATAGAAGCTTAGATCTTTCTCGGACTCGGGTCTCCTACACATCATATTGCTGGTCACTCGGATAGCTCGCCACCCCTCAAAGTCTGCGAAAAGGCTAGATGAATC